ATGTCAAACTGTCTTGGGTAATAATATTGGCTAAATTTCAACTAGAAACAGGTAAACTGGTATACCTGTATGTACAAAGCCAGTGAATTTGATTCAAGCATAGGAAACTGCATCTATTTATATAAATACACATGGACAGAAAATATTTTCTTGGAGCACTAAATGTGGCAATTGCCATATTGTCTGTGTTGATTTGGTGGGTTAACCCCACCTTAAATGTACCACGCCAGCCACATAGAGTGCCCGACGAAGAGCTGTGTAGGTAGTGAAGAAAAACATTGACCGAAGTATTGCAAAGAACTGAATTGTTGTCAATAGCAACAAACATATTGGTAAAGTCAAATACAGTGAAAAGGGCATATGATTACTAACTTTCGAGGATCTTTATTTGCTCCAAGTAATCCAGAGTAAAACGAGATGAATCCACGCTCTATTCCGCCATTTTTATTTTAATATTAAATGCAACCATTATTTTACGGGGGACCACGGGTCATAACTTGAGGGGAGATAACACCCAAGATTTTAAAAATGCCTTGATCAATAAAAGTCTAAGTAACAGGGAAACATTATTTAGATTTTTCAGTGGACCAATAAATTCATTTGACAGGCAAATATAAAAACTCTATCACGACAGCAATTAAAACAGCTTGCTGCCAAGCACGTGAAAATAGAAAAATTAAGAAGAAAAATATTGCACCAAAATGTTGAAGGAAAAATATGGCGTTCAATGCTCTACAACCAAACACAATGAGGTGCAAATTATGTCACAAACATTTCTCCAGAATCTGAAATAGGAATTCTTACTTATGTTGCATCTTGCGTTAAGAGTACTAACTAGACTATAAGAAGCGGGAGTTTCATCAATCTCTTATTTCATCAATGGCATGACATGTACGTTTTCTCGCAATGCTGCAATAAGTTAAAACATCTTAAATCTAAGAGAAAGGTTTTTTGTTATGGTCACAAATACATTAATTGTATTATGTCTAAAAAATGTTGCTGTCCCAAGGTTCAGTGAAATGTACGTTACTATACACTTAAACTGTTGGTGCAATACGCTATGCCTTATTGTCAGCATTTTTTATTGTATGTTTTTGTTATTCTATATTACCTCATGGAATCATGGGAGGAAACGGTGTGCATTTCCGTGTGATAACTGTCATAAAGGTGATTGACAGCTCATACTTATTTTCAACTCTGGAAGGACAGTTGGAATCTACCAGGTTTGATTGTGATTTACATAACAAATGGTGTTTACAACTTTGGAAGGGCAATTGGAATCTACCAGGTGTGCTGTTATTTGAATAACAAAAGATAATATGAACTCAGTAAGTTGTCTACGTGACAAAGCTGCTACCAAGGTCACATTATGGTTGGCTCATGTGGAAACCCAGGTGGTGTCCCTGAATCTGGGCCACTTATGCATAAAAATTGGACAGACTGAGGACAGTTGGGGTCCATCATTTCTACTGTGTACCATGTGTGTTCCTGCTGCGATATTGTGGGACAAGTGATACACACTTCAATCATCATTCTGTGAGACTTGTATGAACTGCTCTGCTTTCAGCAGTGCCAGAATGCCTCCGGAATACCAGCGTTTGCCTGCAAGCAAAACTCCATTGACTGTCATCCATTTCTACATCCTGGAACTGTGAGTTATCACAAATGCACACTACCCTAGGCAATCCTCTAGTGTAGTGAATTTATTCATAGTATTTTTCTGTGCTTTTTTTCTTGTAATTATTTTGAGAGGTATTAAAGCCAGGAGCTTTAACTCGATATTTTAGTGTATGTGTATTTCATTTCCAGTACTATTGTCTTGGTTACCCCTTACTAGCAGTGCAAGCACCCACTGTCCAATGTGAGTTCTCGTTTCTAATAAGCATGCCTTACACTGTGACATTTTGTTGTCAGAAGTGGGATAGTGATTGTGATTCGGATTGGGATTCAGATTCGGATTCAGTATTGATTCTGATTTTGATTCACTGTCGATTTGGACTATATTGTTAATAGTCCCCTGACTAAATAGACTGTTTCGTAACTGCTCAGGCTAGGAAGACATTAAATTGCTTTATTTAATACTACTGAAATTTGATTCACTCCTTTCCAGCATGGATACTGTTAATGAAATTAAAGAGTTAGGTAGAGAATTGAGGTATGAGAAGGAAGGTCTGACTCAATTTGTGAGGGCAGAGCGTGAGGTAAGGGACAGAGAGCGTGAGGCTGAAAGGTTGAAAATTGAGGCAATAGAGAAAATAAGACAGCACGAACTTAATGAATTGAGGTTGCGTGCAAAATGGGGAGTAGAACAGTTGGCTCAGTCCATTATTAGTTCTAAGGGTCCAAAGCTGCCATTGTTTTTATAAGACTAGGGACGAGAAAGACGCATTTATTTGAAGGTTCCAGCGAACTCAGAAATGGCCGTGTGATAGTTTGCTTATGAATCTTAGTGCATTATTGACAGGCAAAGCCTTGTATGTGTTTTCTGCATTGTCTGCAGCAAAGTCAATCGATTACAATGTTGTAAGGGCAGTTTTGTTGAAGCGTTATGACATGAATGAAGAAGGTTATAGAACGAAATTTTGAACTAGTAGGGCAGAAGTTGGAGAGAGTAGTAAGTAGTTATTTTCAACGATTGGCCGATGGGTAGAGCTGTCTGAAGTTGATAGAAGTGCAAGTAGCCATCCATGTTTACAGGGAAGAGATAGAGTGGAGTTGAAATGTAGCCATAAGCTGCCAATTATTAGTGTTGCCAGTGTTTCCAGCTAATAGGATAGTGAGTGGTATGCCTGTTGTTCAAGGCTCTATTGGCAGTACTGAGGTAGAGGTCCTGCGTGATAGTGGATGTAGTTCAGTTGTAGTACGTAGAGAGTTGGTAGAGGATAGTCAATTGACTGGGGAAAGTCGTACCTGTATGTGTGATGATGGATGATACATGTCAGAAAGCCCAGTAGCTAGACTATATATAGATACACCCTACTATGTTAGTGAGAAGTCGAGGCACTGTGTATGAGGAACTCAGTGTATGATCTTATTATTGGTAATATTAGTGGACCTAGGGAGCCCAATGATCATGATATTGGTTGGAAGCTCGGTTCAGCTCATGAGGTAGGGCATGGTGAGGTTAGTTCGCCCTCATGTCGTGAACATGGTACTCCTTCGACTATTATGCCCTCTGGTGGTGAAGGTTGTTGTCCTTCGGGTATTGAGTATGCTAATAATAGTCTCGCTACCTTAAAGGGCGGCAGTCATCGCGCCGCGTCCTGTTCGATATTCGACTCATAGCGACGTATACAACGCGTGTAAAATACATTGTTTATTTACATGAAATTCGAACACGCGCTGAGCGACGACCACCGCGCTTTAACTGTTTCTCAACATGGGAAGCGTATTTATCCAATTTTTCCCTGACCAAACCACATCATTGCTCAATTAGTCATATCCAAAAATACCATACGTTTTGAACCAGCAACATGGCAGCATGGTTATGACAAGGTCTTCCGTCAAAATCCCGTTTTCACGACCAATCAAAGCTTTGTTAATAACCAATTTGATTATGAATACTACCATGTGTAAAAATCATCTTGTACATCTGCACTGCTCTAGATGCGGAAAATCTAGCCATTGTGTTGAGGATGGTTACAGAAACAGACCACGAGGCAATCTGTTTATATGGATAAACGTTACTAGTTGGCTGAAAATATATTCATTTAAGGTAGAGATGCAGGTTCGTGGGTACTTGGGAGTGATTTTTTTTTTTTTGCTTTTTATTATCCAAACAGTCTAGGCTATAAACTGTTAAAATTTGGTACAATTGTGAATAGTGGAACATACTCAAAAAACGATTTTAAAATATAGATAACAGGTGCAAACATTCTCTCTTTTGAATGCTCAGCAAGATTTAGCAAGGCTGTTAATAAATAATAAAAAAGAAACATGATGAAAAAAAAGAACGGGATCTCCATATTATGCACTGTATTTAACTTTTTACAAAACGATAATACATTTAAATTTGGAACTGTTACAGCCATTTTAATTATGAGCATTAACAAACTTCTTACTGAGTGAATTGTTATGCAAATTAGCAATTATCTCAGCTTCTTTTGAGTGCACATCCCAGAACTTTAAAAAAATACCTCCTAGATGCTTTGAAATGTTTTGAAATTTTCACAAATGATTGACAATGTGTTTATCTTCAAAACGCCGTCGGGGCATTGTTTTTGGTTGAACTGTGTTACAACTATCGTACAGACAACTAGCCTGGGTGTTCATACAATAAGCTTACCGAAAATATATAGTTTTGTGGACAAGGGAGGTCATCTTGGTTTCCTAATTAGGAATCCCAGTAATAACATGACAAACGGGAGCATAATTGATAGGTAGTGCAGTCACCGGCAGTAAAAAAAAATACTGTCTACAACAAAGGTCTGCAATGCTCATGTATATTATATTTGCAAGATTAGTTATAAAGGTAGTTTAGAATTTATCTTATTGTTATTGTACGACGTATATATTACTGACATTGGTATCGATAATTATTATAAAGTATAGTGATGTTCATTCGTGAAATTCGTATGTGATGAACCTAGAAGATCTTTCATGGTTTGGAAAAAGCTTGGAATATGAAGAGTAGGCATAAGCTTTGTTTAAATGCGGACGATGGTATCGACCAATGTCCAGAACTTTGTTGTCTTTATAGAGTTGAATTTTCGTTTGAATCATTCTCCGAAAAAATGTGTGAAAACATCTTTTAATCGTGTTATAATAAGGATAAATTTGATAGATTTTTAAAAGGGTATTATCTAACATTTTAAACATAGCCAGTTATATTTTATTTTAATATATATATTACATATTTTGTGAACAGTGTGTTTTTGCGGAGTCAGTGATTTGGACTTTATTCCTTTTGTTTGTCATGACAAACAATGAACAACAAATAAATAAAAAATGATAATGATTTTATATAACTACCATTAATCACAGAACAACACGCAGGACAATTGCTTCCTATGCATTGAACTTTATTCCCAGCAAAACATTATACATTCACTGAAGCGAATCAAATATTATAACCGACATGTGACGTCTCTACTACATTTCGATAATCACTGCCACATGCTTTAGACCAAACCAAAAAGGCATCTATATTATTGTCTTGATAATAACCATTAATAATTAATAGTGGTGATTCCGAGCGTGCTGAGGAATCTTGGCTCTCGCTTCGCAGCTGTGAACAGAAATAGAGATCACACATAAAAGAATTCAGTCTCATTCAGTCGCTGGTTTATATCGTCGTCGAACAAATAGTTCATGAAGAAAAACTGCCCAAAATCTCCTATGAAATATATACGCACTTTTAATGTATGAATTTAAGTGACTTTGCAGGAATTGTATTTTATGCATTATTCTTAATAAATATATATATATATATATTTGTGTTAGTTGAGGCTCGGGTTTTAAGTCACAGCGATACACTTGCAAATGAAATATCTGCATATATTTTTTTTCTTAATAACTTTTATTATGTTATAAAAGTAATGTTTTCTAACAAAATAAAATCATCTACAATTTAAGTAAATTGGCTACCAATTAATTTGAAAGCAGAAAATGTGTTCAAATCGACTAATCATTGATTAACAAAGAGTGTGTGTGAACACTCATTGCATATTATATAATAACTGATTAAATATGAAGGTTACAGAACTATCGACATTTTATATTCGTGTGTTAGTCTGTTAATCAAATGGTTGCACATATTACACTGGTCTTCTTCAGTTCGTGTCGAGCTAGCATTTTCGGCATCACGAAAAGCTACGTTTTAACAATTTTTACAAAACACCTCATTATAGTAGTTTAACATTATTGTAAAATGTAATAAATCTACAAAATATGATACTGTTTCTTACCCATTTGGGCATTGCCACGCTGCTCCCAGTACATTGTGATCGGTGGTAATAGTACCATTAGGTAGTTGCATGTCATTAGTTGAGTCACCATCCGCATTACCCAGCATTCCACATACATGACCCCGAAGATGTGCTTTCGAATGTAACTCCACTTCCACATTGTGAGGACTGAACAAAACGTACCAGTTTTCCACGAGGTGATAGATAAGATATTTTCCCATAAACATAAACATTACAATTGATTTATCTGGAGTCACGGTGAACGCATATCTGCTAATGTCCTTACCATTTAGCTGAAAAAAAAATATATACTCAATTCATTCAGCCGCGTGTTGTGTTTTGCCCCCCCCCCACACACCCCACCCCACCCCCACCCCCAATAATGTCCCATTTATCGCGTCCACTATTTTCAAATACCTTGATTAAAACTGCATCCGGGGGACAATTTAAGGTGTGTGTATACACGTTATCTATAATTAGTCTAGTTCGTGGGTTTGTGGGATCGGGTGGCAGTAGCCGACATTGAATTTTTTTTCCGAGTTTGTTTGCGCAAGTGAAATTATTATCGAGACTAGATAATATGTCCGTCTGTGCGTCGATTATTCCAGTGTGCACAATAATCCATGAGACATTAACCAAGTGTTATCTGACAATTCAATATTTTTGGGCTGAATAGTGGCATTTACTAGTGATGCAACAAGTTATTGTATTTAACTCTGACATCCCACTATTGTATGTATTGTGGTCAAATACCGCTAACGGACGATAGTTGTGCAACTTTATTCATTAAGTGGTTAGCAGGTATAAGTGTTATAAATGTTATTAGTTCTTGTGCGGAAAATATCTAGTCACATCATTTGGTGACATGTAGTTAAAAACTAGTATGTTTTTATAATTCTGATTGTCACAAGTTATTACGAGATTTCTTGGAGTACTACTTATTTTCCATAAAATATTGCTTCCCAATCTTAGAATTTTTGCACAGGATTTTCACTAAACCGTGATTTGTACTGGGTAAAAATACCCAAAAAGCGATTACATATATTCAAATATATATTTAAGTAGCACTTTTAAAACAAAATATTGTAATTAATTTTTTACCCTATTAAGAATTATAGCGCTCTATGAATTTTATTGGAATGATAGGTCGAAATAACCACGAATCTTATACCCCTAACATGACTGCTCTGAACCAACTCGCAGAAATGAGTGGACTAATTTCGTTTCGATTTGGAATCATGTCGTTGCATATTCAGATGCGTATGTGATGTATTTTTATTTAATTCAATATTTATTTACAATAAGTTCTGTTTCATGTTTGTTGTTTTTTTTCCTTCATCATTTTCATCTCAGACATCTCATTTAAAGAATCACATATGTTGAAACATTAGTTGGCGGGGAAAAGCAACGTACATTACATTAAATAGTAATTACCTGAGTCAAAGGTCCACCAACGAGAATTTCATTACTACCAGAGACTATGTACGTTCCTATCACATGTCTAATCTCCTCATCTTCCATTCCTCCGCTGTTCAATCCACAAATAGTGAATGTCCCAGGGCCCTCATTTACGCAGTCGTTCGTTGTCAGGACCTCGCCACATTTTCCTTGATAGTTCAATCTTTTGCCGTCATGCGTAAGGAGGTGAGGATCACAACACTCATCGCAGCACACACACGGACAGGCTACGCAAATAACATTAAAAAAATTGTTTAAAAAGAAATGGGTAGGGGTATGCAAGAGATAATTCAATGGTCGTCAGCAGAACGATGGATATGTGTGACCTACATATAGTTATTTAAAAATATGTCGTTTGGTATGTATTTAATATGTAATGTTTAGAACTAGAAATTCTAGTACCAAACAATATAAGCACAATATTTACGTCAAATATAGCGTAAACAACGTATGAACACGATTTTAACTGGAACCCCCAGTGAGAGTAGTGAGACATGCCACTAGTCATTGTTGGTTATGAAGATGCTACTATATTGCGATTAACTCAACTGACAATGACCACGGCAAAGCACCTTGCCCCTGTGGACACTAACTGCAACTGAAAAGAAACGGCGGGGGAGTCGTCACCTGCACATGCGTCAGATGGCCGTAGCGTGTCATTGTTTTTGCCTTTGCGTTTTTAGCGTGTGTTGTTACAATCGCTTAGAACTCAATTCCTGCGCGTGCGCAGCCGACGATCCTCCCGCTTTAAAGCAGCGTGGATGAGCTCGGACCTAGAGTGACTAAATGGATATATAAAACAAACTGGATCACTGACGTCACAGAGAGACAGAATTATTGACGTTATTTGTATACGACATTGGCAGGTAACAGTAGAGTCCGTCAAGGATGACATGTCTGAATAAGAACAATAATAGTTAATAGTTATAAACACTTACTCGTCTGAACATAGGCGGTGAAAAATTCCGTCGTGAATTGATCAGAACAGACAGCCTCGACAGTGAGGTTAATCCAGGTACATTCGCTGTAATTACCAAAGACTGCGTAAAAGTAATTTCCTCCCATCATCGGGTCATATATCGGTAGAAGGTCGATTATTGGGGCAATTTCTGAACCATTAACATGTACCGTGATATTCATACTTCCATACAAGTATTTGCCCAGCGTGTCCATGGCATAATATTTTACATCATAACAGGAATCAAGGACTACGTTGATTAACGAAGCTATTAGAAAGATAGTGACACAAAATTAGACTAAAATAGAAGCTTCCAATTAAAACACGACTGTTCTGCGCCCTCTGTCAGCGACATGCATATTTAATATTGCTGCCCATAGATGGCGCAATTCACGTTTCCCGTTCTACAGATTATTTGAAAGGAAAAAGGTTATTCATGGAACATATTTTCATTAACTTACCTGTATTCGGATTCGTAGTTCTCTCAGATTTTTCCTCTTTTGTTGAATGCATAAACATCTGAAAATAAACATACATCAATTTTGAGTAAATACAGACAATAGATGACATCTTGAGAATGCGATTATTAGTTTTGACCTCCGTGCGTCCGTGCTTCCATGCGCCCGTGTGTTCGGACCTGTATCTTAGAAATGCCTGGACCAATCACAATAAAACTTCACACATACATCATACATGATATTATACATAGGCACGTCAATTTTTTCACGATCGTATTCAAGATGGCCGAATGGCGGCCATTTGTGTGCTAAAAATCATCAAAATCAAGCATTTCTCGGCTGTTTACAGATGGATTTTGTTCAAACTTGGTATATACGTTATACCTTGATGCACATTTTGTTTTTCAAATAAGATTCAAAATGGCCGACTGGCGGCCATTTTGTTTTAATGAATGTGGTTCTAGTGCCATATGTCTGACCTGCTTTGACTGATTATGTTCAAATTTCAAATATCCAGTAAATATCATGTCATAGATATACAGATATATTGATTTGACGATCCTATTAAAAATGGCCGAATGGTGGCCATTTTTGTCCTAAAAAATCATCAAAATCAAGTATTTCCCGGCTTTTTACATTTGGATTTTGTTCAAACCTTGTATATACGTTGGACATTATAGGACCTTGATGCACATCATTTTATTTTTCAGATCGGATTCAGAATGGCTGACTAGCTGCCATTTTGTTTTAAAGAATGGGCTTCTAGAGCCATATCTCTGACATGCTTTGACTGATTATATTCAAATTTTATATATTCATTATACATTTATTCAAAATGCTGTTCAAGAGCAATATCTCTCAATACTCGTTTGACGATCAAATACAAATGTCAATCATTTTAATGTTAAACAATCATCATAATCATATTCCTGAGATGTTTATGTTCCAGTTATATTACTATAAACAACACTATATATCTTAAATTCGATAATTAACGGGGACTGTGCCATGCATGGCTTGTTAATTAATGATTTCAAACAGTTAACAGGAACTCATGAATTCAATGACAGTCAGCTGACATGCACGTGAGAAAGTACATGTTTTTCAAATTTCTACAAATTAGGAGACAAATCACCAAACCTAAAAAGGTCTGTTTGGGCATCATTATGCCAACCGCTAACAAAATGTGGCCAAATTTGTCGATTTTATGTAGAAAAAAACCTTGCATGCGAACACCTTATTTTACATGAAGAACCAAAATCGTTATCCCACTCATAAGCCAATCAGCGACGGTCTTACAGTTAGAAGACGATTTCGGTTTCAAATACTTCTGGAAATTGTTGTATGTTTTTCGTGGAATTAGCTGTTCGTATTCAAGGGTTTTTAGCGGTCGACTTAATGCTATCCCAAGGGATCGTTTGGCTATGAAATTTGGTATTGGTATTATTTATTTAGTTTCAAACCATATTTAAGGATGACAGCCCCAATATAGTAAATATTGGTAAATTGATCACTTTTAATGTTATTATGACGTGTACGTCAGCTGACTGTGTGGAATCAATGTCCAATTGAACAGGAACATTACGTTATCATTTGTTTAAACAAAATAAACATAACATGACATTGAATACAAATTTGAGAAATTATGGAGTGGTTAAATGTTCGAAATACTGAATTGACGATATTAAATGTGTGTATCCCTTTATTTCAATAAATGACGCACGTAATGAGCGGTATTCTTGTCTTGATAGAAATAGCGTAACGTAACGTAACGAACTCATACACTGCAGAACACTGTTTTTTCTGTCACAATATTTGAACTAACTTAGATTAATGGCCGGATATAGTAGGGAATTTGTTTTCATCCATAGACAACCGTACCAAGATGTATGTATAACAATATGTTGATAAAGACCAATCTGTGGTGGTGTAAAGCAACTGATAATAGAAATGTTTGTTCTAGATTTGTGTCATTTTTTAAATTGTAAACGCAGTTCTTAAAATTATTATTATACCTGCATACGTACGAGTCTATTTTTTAATTAGTGAGATTTGTGTTCCTTATCGTACACGCATCGCAAAAACTTCTTACCGTGTACGCGTGAATGAATGAAACACCTAATTACCAACATCGTCAGAAAACTTGTAACACATAGCATATGTCCTGTGCATGTACATATATATATATATATATATATATATATATATATATATCACTAAATTGATAATCGATATCGAAAAGTCACCCACAAATTGATTAATGTCCAAACTATAATATTACAATACATCATATTACATACACATTTTAATGGCGGCTAATAAAATACTCAACAAGTATATAATATCCACGTGTTCCTGTACTGTAATGTAATATATGTAACACAGTATGCAAATCATAGTTAGCTTCTAAAAGCACATGTAAACAACATTCAAACATTACCTTGAATTATACTACTTTTACTGGCCTATATCGTTTGATACATAACATACTATGTTTTTAATTATTATTTGATTGTAAAAAGTGGGTACAAAAGGAACGTGGTTTTTGGATGGCGACATATAACAAATTTCAAGATATGCCATGTGACAAATATATAAAAAAAAATTAAAATGGCATCAGTACGCACTTTTATAAAATGCTTGAATTGTGTTACTTAAATGTCGCCTTTATTCTCATGACAACTTAATGCTTCAAAATGTTTAACTGCTTGCCGAATCAATGGATGTCCGCAAACCCAAATCCCCAAGGACTCCAAAAAACAGGCTGTCAATCGTCGGCTCTGAATTGCATGAAAAACTGGATAAAAAATAAACACATCGGCTCCGCCTCTCTCTCAGTGGTTGTCACTAGTATGATATTTTGCCAAAATTGTGAATCATAATTCAGTGATATAAAACAGATTTCATATATATTTGATTGATTGATTGATTAAACGATTTTGCTTGAAATGGACAAGTTAAAGAATTGAGTGACACGGGGAGACCACGGAGGAATTAGAAACGAAATTGAGGCTACCTCCATCATCGCTAATTCCCAAGGTACAATTGCCCTATTTTATCGCTGCCTTCTTTTTGCGACAACAACGAGGAACGACTTCTGAGATAAAAACACACACACACACACAATGATGTCGAAAACAAGACACTGGTTTTCTCTTGTATTGCTTAATCTCGATAGACCACCCAAGTCCAAGGGTAAGTGGCACTAGAAATACAATTGGCGGGAGTCAACTCTGAAATACGGAACATTTGGTCTGAGAATGGGGGTTTTGGGGTCGAAAGGGTAGGTTTTGGTACTATTGGCCACAGCCACAGATTCAAAATTTATATCCACGGAATAAGGGAGAAAAGTGACTAATTTGGGGGGCACATCACGTATATTTTCCATGCTGGTCTCCGATTTCCAGGTAGCTCGAGTGTCTTAACACTGTAACATTTCAAATAATAATTGAATGTCCCGGAAATAGGTATTATGTCGTTTTCAATTGGCATTCAGTTTTTTTTATCGCATTTCTTGGCGTTATGACGCTTTGTTGTACACTGTTATACAGTGTTACAGAAAACATCGACTGCGTGGCACTAATCTGTTGTTCAGGCCGTCATGTGAGTCTTGATGAGTATTGAAAATCTGCTTGTAAAATGCATAGTACAACGTAACTATTTTGTCGGTTGCGTGTGGTCACGATGAATGAGAAGCCAAGTTCAACAACATCGATAGAATAATAAGTGCACTCATAATAAATTAAATTACCCAATTGTCTTACGAGGTAGTTCAATTTACGGAGACGTCATTTTCATCATCCGTTTCATTACGTCAATGCTATTTCAATTTAATATTTTATATGACGACGAACAAAAAGCAAAAAAAAAAACACTACATAACATTTCCAATTAAATTGAGATACAGATAAATTAACACATCTTACCTCAGGTACGTTCACCATCATGCTGTCTGCATGTATGCATGTCGCAATAATCGACACGATGCACAGTGGTATCAGCAACTTCATGGTGGCAGGTAGATGTAACGTATTCAGCTCGACTAATGCTGTGCGATGCCGAATGCTACTCGTAGACAGGGTTGATGACGTCACAAATTCTCGCGTCCTCTATTGGTTTATTTTGAATGAAAGCGGACGTAGATGAGAGCACAGCTGTCGTCGTCCATTCTGACCCCATCCTTGTGTCAAACGTCCGACTATGTTGTCGTAACAAATTTGGAAAATAATCGAAATAATCGGTCATCATAGATTTACTGCAGCTTCGACATTTATTGAAGCCATTTTGATTTGTGACAATGAATCACATCTACAGGTTTGCCATTCGAAATGGTTTGGTCGATTCATTCATCTTACATAAGCTTTGATGCTATAGGAAATGATTTGGTGTAGATAAACGTGTAAATTGTGGAAGTAGAAAACACTTTCCAACAACACAGCAAACCGCCTTGGGTATCTAATATGACCACGCTGTTGTATTATTTGTACAATTTACACACTGGTTTTCATATAAATTGTTGATTATTTGTATATTATTTCACACCGATTTTTTAAAGTGAATGTCTGCTTGATGTCTATTAGAGTATATACAGTAAACAGATGATTACATCATCATTGTGTGCGCATAAACAGGGGCCGTGCAATGTAGAACGCGAGAGTAGCGAACGTCATAATCTCGCACAGCTTTGGAACAGTGTTCGTAATTGAATGTAAGACATCGGTCACTATAAATATATACATACCTCTTTGGTGTGTGTGTGTTTGAAATCGAATATGTTGTGTATTATGATTGAGGAGTATCTAACTAGACATCTCACCATATTTTTGTTTTGTTTTGTTTTTTTAGATTCACAAATCAAATATCATGTGGTGTAACATTTAATAAGACGTGCACAATCACGTCTCTGGAGACGAATAACTCAAAAGATCGTTCTCGATTCAATGTTGCCATTGTGACCGAGTGAACAGGCCTTGCAGCTTGAGTAGTTTCCTTTTGGAGGTCTTTTTCTACGGAATCATTTATTTCCATTCAAAACCGCCATAAGTATTATCGTGGATCGCCAGTACAATTCCCCGACAGTATTAACAATAATACCGACAGTAGAATGTAAAACATGTACTACTTGATGTTTGAAACATACCATTTCCACAAATATTTGTAAAAAAAAACATGGATTTAAATAATGTCAAATGTCTATAATAAAAGAAAATTACAGCGTAGGATTTTGAGATTTCCTGGTATCATATTGATGCAACACATTTGTTGGTAACAAATTAAACCCCAATATAACGCAATAAACATGTATTGTTTTGTTAACAATATGAGGGTTGTGTGTGCGGATTATAATATTGGTACATACGATTACGTGGGGTAGTGATGGAGTATGCGATCAATTGTCGTCACAAATATGTCAATCATCCATACAGCCGCTACTCATAGTAACTGCTATATCAATTGTCATACAAAACATTCAGTCTGTAAAAATGTTACTCACTTTTGAAGTGTTTTCATTTACACAAAACCGGGAAAAAGTTAAGTGATTATGTTTAATTGTTTTATTTTAAATTTGTCATTTATTGGGTTTTGCTTTCGATTTTTCCTGAATATTGATTTAACAATTTAACTAAAGCTCGCGATGTCCAGAAAATTTGTCCTTTTGTCCTTTGGAGTTCATCCAGTCGCATATGAATAATAATAGTACATAGTCGTACACTGCAATCGACACAAGGATGGTGGCGTGAGAATGCAATCGACCGAACGTAGCTTGGATTAATATTTCAAAGACCATGGACACCTGTTCACTCGGGTTACAGAGCACTAGATTTGCTTACCAATTAGTACTGAAGACGTTCGACCTTCGGAGTTGGGCTCGGTGATATAATCGGGTGCGCCTACCCGCCCGATAAGACCCGGACGACCATCCGGCGAATAGTGCGGTCCGATCGGAGGATTTTGGTATGCGCGTGCATCCTCTGTAACAAAACAAGTGTGGGCCTTTTCATTAAATCTTGATCGGGCCTCCTGCCCTGCATAATCAAGCACGACATTGCAATTACTTAGGATGGACAGTTGATGACGTGCTTGGGAATTCGACCTATGCTGTTGAAACATACAGTTGCAAACTGGGCACACAATTAGGAAAAATGTTACCACAATCTTTTAAAATCGGCGTGCACAGACACATTGTTTAATGTAGAACCTATGTGCAGTATAAATACAATGAAGCAGCATAGTATAATCAGTATTTGCAGCGCATGGGTCAAAAGTAATAAAAACAATGGCATGTACACAAACAAATAAAAGAATTAATTTTAAATGGTAGCCCTTTGAAGTGATACTAATGTACTACGCAATCAGCAAACTTAATGTCAAAAATATATTGCCGATAGCCTCAGTCAAATAATATGATTCTTTACTTATTTAAAAATCGAATTCATCACGACAGGATCTCTCGTTAAGACTTGTTAATTTCCTTCCCGCAGATTCTGTGTTCTGCTGTTCATTATTAGGCATTTTTGCGAATCGTTATTAAACAATGGTGTACTCATCTTAATTAATCGCTTGTCAATGGGGTATTACATTTTCAAATGAGTCAACGCAAAATATGAAATAAAAATCATATCATTGGAAAGATTTTATTACATTTTGTTATGGCCGTCAGTTTTCAAAATTGTTCATACTAGAATTTAAATTAGAAAATATGTTTTAGTATTGACACTGGTAAATGATGAATACGGTAAAATTAAAAAATAAACATTATTTACACTTCCCATAATGTTGTGATACTATGAGAAGAAATTTAAAGTCTTGAAAGTTGTACGAAAAATGGTTTGAAAAGTCTTCTTTCCACTACTAAAAGTATTCTTTTTTTGACTAGTCTAATACACTACAACCGTTTATAGATTTTCTATGTGATTTTTGTATCACTGTCTGCGCTGACCGTATCAACGACAATTTATTGTGTTCACTCTGTGATTTCGAGAAACAGTTGGGCACGTGTATTCCAAATATTATTTGATGTTCACTGTGTTCTCCGTGATTGAAAAATCTTGTTTTAATACAAATACAACCATTTATAGATTTGTTCTGTGGTTTTTCTATCGAGAAAATAATATGTCCATCTTGACCGTAACACAAATTACTATTGTTTATCTGTGATTTGCTTATATCTAAAGAACATTTATACTCTGGGTGCTTCTCTATCAAGAGACCACTGTACAGTGACAGTGGATGTTTATTGTGTTTCAGTGATTTCTCTGTCAGGGGGTAAATTCTCTTCTCTCGGGGTTCTCCTCACGTGTCAGGGGGGAATCTCGTCTCGTCTCTATATCTCGTCCCCTTGAGGTGCGGGATCGGGAAAGTCACTTATACTTTACAGTCAAATAAGACACACACAGCGAAATACGTTTCAACTCTCGTCTTAGTCGGTCTGTGGAGCACTCTATAAGACACAGCGCCCTGGGGAAAAATCCCCAAGACTATCGCAAGGCTGAACCAAGACTAGCCCAAGACTGTGCTTAGACTCGCCCCAAGGCTCTCTAGGACTGGACTCTCGACTGCGTCTATCGTGGAGTACTTGCCAAGACCAACTCAAACTTTCTTTATTCATTTTCAAAACTCTAACCAATTACAATGCAGTAAAAAGACTCTAGGGCGTAACCTTCAATCATAAAGCCAATCACACTAAGTACTGAATACGTCATATCTTTTGATTAATCGTTCACTACATTAATAACTATGAATACCAACTGTCAGAATTCGTAGTCAGAATAGCGACGGTTATCTCGTAATTAGTTCCAAATCACTGAGCCAAGTTCCGTCCAAAACTTCAAATAGACCGGAACGATGACAGACATAACACAGCAATTCGCTAATAATCAGCTAATTAAGTCGATCAACAGATACGCAAAAACAAATTCATGACATCTCTATCACCATCCAGTACATTTACCAATTTTATAAGAGCAGCTAAAAGCCAAGTGAATTTCCACGTTTCTACACGATAGCCCTAAAGGACTTTCTACCTACTATCAGGGGTAAATTCTTCGGCCTCGGGGTTCTCCACACGTGTCAGGGGGGAATCTCGTCTCGTCTCTATATCACGTCCCCTTGAGGTACGGGATCGGGGAAGTCACTTAAGCTTTACAGTCAAATAGACACACACAACGAAATACGTTTCAACTATTGTCTTAGTCGGTCAGTCGAGCACTCTTTAAGACACAGCGCCCTGGGGAAAAGTCCCCAAGACTATCGCAAGGCTGACCCAAGACTCTGTCCCAAGACTGCGTCAAGACTCGCCCCAAGACTCTCCAGGACTCGACTGCGTCTGTCGTGGTGTTCTCGCCAAGACCAACTAAAACAACTTTATTCATTTTCAAAACTCTAACCAATTACAAGACAGCAAAAAGACTCTAGGGCGTAACCTTCAATCATACAGCCAATCAAACTAAGTATTGGAAACTTCATATATTTTGATTAATCGTTCACTACATTAATAATTACGAATACCAACTGTCAGAAATAGTAGTCCGAATAGAGACGGTTATCTCGTAATTAGTTCCAAATCACTGAGTCGAGTTCCGTCCAGGACCTCGCCTGCCTAAACGATGACAGACATAACGCAGTATTTCACTTGTAATCAGCTAATTAAGTCGATTAACAGATACGCAAAAACAAATTCATCACACTACCATCGAGTAAAAAGCAGAATGGAGGACAGGCTTTTTGAGATAGAGATGACAAGATAACTCTTGTAATTCTTGAAGATTACGGAACAGTACAGTCTACCAACATTCTGCTCTCACGAAGACCCAGGGAGATGTATTTTAAACATCTATAGAAGAACTAAGAAACATAACATGTGAGAAAAAAATGCAAAGCGTTGAGAAACCAAAGAAACAGCGAGCAAAAGAGTACTCTGCTTCTGACAGAATTAGTAAATCAGGTTGCCAATCAGGAATACTTTGGGAAAAGAATATTGAAAATGGAACGTGTCATTCAACAGTCCAGTTCAACATCCTCAAGAAAATACCTGATGACCCAACTATTGGCTACAGCGGAGAAAAATGAATGAGCCAATGAGATATTTTTCATGTGGGGTAAAAGATGTGTCTCAACAAAACCAAATGATACAAGAAAATTATACATTGAACTTGAAAGGCATATGGCTGGAGGGCATGCCACGGATAATTAGTGTAGAAGTAAATGCATTAATGATTATCCCATCGGCAATTAGTTGGTCCAATAAATGAATATGCAGTAATGGTTAAAGGTAAATCATATATCGCCCTGGTGGACACTGGATCCATGGTCACTACAACTGTTCCGGAACTATGTCAGCAAAGGTTGGAGACAGGGGAGATATGTTGTCCATAATGATGTAGTTATTGATTTCATTCTTGTGTCACACTTATACAGGTGTTCCAGCATTTGGAAAAGATGCCCTATTTTTGATTGGTACAAACCTTATTTGGACCACTCTTTATTATGCAGAGACGATTGCATATTAGAAAAATGTTTATTGAAATAAGCAAACCAAGCTTCTAGCTGCTCACATAAGCCATATATGGTCTAATGCAACTGTTCCTCATCCTATCGGACTTTTGTACTTCAGGTTTTCCATACTTATTTTAATTAAATAAAATAGCGCAACCCAAATCTGTATTGTTATGTCGATTTATGTGGATTAAAAACCGTCATATAGGACTCACATATGTAGTCCAATGAAATTCGTAAATACGTTTGTACTTGTACTTATAATGACACACCGGAAACACAATCACGTAACAATGTTCAGCGTCATTCAATCTAATTATTGAGTTAATACACATTAAATTGTGACCACGATATGAGAGTTGGGGCTATTATGAAACTATCTTGCTTAACCGTGTTCGGAATGTCAATAGATGTACTGTTGACAACATGACTAGGTACTTATATAAAGTTACAGCTAAAGATGAATATTTTGGTGTGTGTGTGTAAGGAATTAACATTTTAACAAAATCATTATGTGTGTGTTTTTATTTGATTTCATAAGCAACATGTATCCCTAAATTTCAAAATTATTCCAATACAGTGAACCAAAATGTCATTCTAATGCTAGTGAAAATTATCAGTCACTTTGGGGTTACTTGTATTATACCTCGGCCATAATTTCAATACAATATTTGTAATTCGTATTTGTAATACGGGTTAGCATATTCGAAGTTGTATCATTAGATCAGATGCTTAATACAGGTCAAATTCAGATATACGACCTTACACGTTATTCTGTGATTTGAACCAACAATAACAAATATTAAGTATTATATTGTTACGACATAATAATTATTATTTATATTCCATTTACTTGAACTACAAATATTCATGTTTACGTTTCAATGCTTCAAACTACCATATAGTCATATCTAAATGTACACTTGACAGTGCATGTGAAAAAATTCCAACAAACTATCCAAACTACAAATATTATGTTAATCCGTACATGTCTCAAAACAATACACACATAGTTTAAAGCACATGTGCATGCCTTCCTGAAAGGTTTTTTATGTGCTCCATCTTGTCCAGACGGGAGCTGGATAGTCAACGACCAGATTTTAAATATATAAGAAGAACACATTCTCAGGTAAGCATAAGAAACACATTGATCTCTCAGTTAGGTGATGGAAGACAGAATTATTTCTCAGTACATTGAGGAAAATGACCTTTATGTTATTATAATATATTCATTTCTCAGGTCCTAATTAGAAGAAGAAATGCTCTCTACTACAGATATTAAAAGATGCAACGATTTGATATAAAAACATTTTTAGGGTTGGTATTGAAAGAAAAAATCCCCCGGTTGAACATCGCATGATAAAATTATCACTCAGGTGGATATTTTAAAATACGCATAAGATTTATAATATCAGTCAGACCATCAGAGATGCAAAGGATCTTACCAGTGGTCCAATGGGTAACATAATCTTCAGGTGGGTATAGGAAGACGCAGAATACATTGGGAGATGTAATGAACTTTCAGTTAGGTATTGAAAGACGAAATGCTTTCTCATGTGCGTAGATGTAACGATATCTCTGGTGGTTATTGAGAAGATAGAAAGATCTCAAAGCTAGTTAATGGAAAGTGCAGTGATCTAACAGATGAGTATTGGGAGACGCAATGAGGTTTTAGTTAGGTATTGGAATTCTCAGTGATCTCTCAGGCGTGTATTGGAAGATTCAACAGTCTCTCAGGTGAGTATTGAAAGACGCAATGATTTCTCGGGTGGGTATAGAATGCTGCAACTATCTCTCAGTTGGTTATTGACATGACAGAATGATCTAAAAGCTAGTTATTGCAAGATGCATTAATCGCACAGTTGTGTTATAGAAGATGCGATACTCTCAGGTATGAATATGAAATGATTTCATGATTGGGTTTGCACGACGCAATGATCTCCCAATTGGGCAATAAAAGGCGTAATGCTTTCTGTTCCGAGATCCAGGTGCGTTTGTACTTGTCATCCACTTCTCAAATAATTCGTACACAGTTGCGTTCGGATAGCCAGTTTATTCAAGATAGCGGTGAAAACTAAATAAAGAAATCACATGTCAAATGACGTCATGGCTGTCTAAACGAAAGAGCATGAAAGATTTATATAAAACGCATGAAAATTGCGAGAAATACACCTAACAAAATTACGACACTAAGAGTAACTCATGAGTCAATAAATGTAGAAATAAACTTACTTTGCTGAGTCCAGTGTTCATTTAGAAGGACTTTAGATAGCATTTGTCGGTCGTACGCAATGCGTTCAGCAGGTGGTAAGGGAAATACATAGGTCGGGAAAGACGATATTACGGAGAGACGTTCGATTGATGGTTGAAAGAACTCTCATTTATTCTGGAAATGGTCACGCAATATATAGCGCACATGAAAGGTGCCGCCAAAACAATACATTGCGTTGACCGGATGTCAGGGATTAATTATATCAATTAATAGGGTTGCAATAATTAAGATCAAACATAAATAGAGTATAAAGTAAGTCTGAACATAAACATAAACATACAGAGTGATGCTGTCCGCCCGACGGGAAAAATAAACAAAAACAGTTTCCCACACAGCGTACACATATCAGACTCTATCCCATAATTGTTATAACGAAATCTGACATACACTGAATGTAACGTCAGCCCCTTAAGAGGGCGATATACTATTAGGAAATGAAAGGGCGTCCAGCACAATGTTATCAGGTGAGTATTTGAATATGCAATGATCTCTCGGGTGAGTATTGGAAGACCCAATGTTCCTTTAGGTGAGTATTGAAAGATGCAATGATCTCTCAGTCAGATATTGAAAGATACAATGTTTTTAGGTGAGTATTAAAAGACCCATTAATCTCTCATATTTGAAGAAACAATGATCTCTCGAGCGAGACTCTATAATCTCAGCTTTCAACTGGCCATTGGGAAGACACAATGATCAATGAAGTATTGAAAGATGTAAAGATTGTACAGTTTGGTATTGGAAGACCTAATGATTTCTATGATTTAAAAACGAACTGTTTCACCACGATACAAGTACTTTGTATCTGGGTACAAAAGATCATATTTTGTTACTGATAAAACTGATGCAAAAATATTTTATACTGAAAATAGAATATTTGTTGAGTTTGGTATTTTAATGGGAACTAATTGTGCTCCTATGCTAGCTAATATTTTCCTTCAGAACTGGAAATCAAAGAAACTAGAGAATCAAGTTGTTTTCTTCATATCTTAATGTTACTTCAAGATAACCTTTCTACTAGACTGTGTGATTTTGTGAGTAGAATTTGCTTTTACCGTCTCAATTGTTCTCAACTGTTTAGTAATACCCCCCCCCCATTCTCCTGTATATGTGGGTTGGTATTGTAGAACGCAATGATCTCCGAAGTTGGTATTGAAGACACAATGATCTCTCAGATGAGTACTAAAAGACATAATGATTTCCCAGGTATTGGAAAACATAATGATCTCTCGGGTGGGTAAATACCATCTTTGAATGACCACTTACTGCTCATTCAGGTTAACATTCGGGTTTTTAAAATATATTTCATGAAAATAATTCAAACTGACAACAATTCAACCCAAGCAAACTATGTATTTAGCAGGCATTGAACAGAACCGACATATTGTTGATCTCTCAATAATGTAAATCATCATAGTATGACCGTTTACATTTAAACAGTGACTGTGTTGCTACCACGAGGCGGAGTTTAAGTATTTAATATTTATAAATGAAGCGTCCTTAAACAGAATAATACAGGTGGACACGCTGATGGCGATATAATATATTATTATAAAGCCGCAAACTATACGCGATTCAGACGAATATATTCATTAACTGTTCCGGTCATTGTAGGTCGGTCAATCTCTTCAATGATTCTTGCAACTGTTTGTGTTAGGAAAAAATACAAAAAACCAACACTTAGTTTGTGTCAAACTTAATAAGAACAAATGTTAAGTACATTTAATACCAGCATGCCTTGGTTTACTAATATGATTGCCAATTGGGCACGTGACTATTTTTGGTGTAGTTGAAAGGTTTCAAAAGTAGTATACAGGAAACACATTACCGACATGTGAATATATTATTAATCACTTGAATTAATATACGATGAATGTACACAGAAATTGATGAAATGTATATAGGAATATCACAAATTCTAAACTACGTATTTACGTGTGTCGCTGACATTGAATGTAATATACATTATGTAGTGTATTAATCTTTCCTTACCTTCCCGGTACTATCCACGAGTTGGTGAAATCATCGACGTTATCCAAAAGTTTTCCATTGGCGTCTTTGAAATCATTGGTTGGATCGTCATCAGCGTTGCCTAGGAGACCACACACGTTTCCATACAGCAATGGCTCAATGTGAATATCAACAAATCGGTCGCCGTCCCACATGACGTTAAATCTAGATGGCATTTCTACGTTGATAACATCATCGATTAATTTAATGTGGATGACATTACTATCAGCGATGATCAGTGACCTTGGCAGTGAATCCAATGATGTGACCTTTTTATCAATCTGAAAAATCATCACAAAGATTCATTGGCATTCACTGAAAAAGTGTTTGAATCCATTATAATCAGCATGTATTGGATTTGCACTGTGTTGAATTGCCGGGTTCTAGTTGAACGTATCTAAATGCATTAAACACTACCGGAAATGTGAAAAAAATGCATTTATTCTGAATGCTCTGTATAATTGTCCTGGAAATTAAATCATACTATGCAAATAATGACAATATGTACACTTTGGTGAGGGCAGGAACGTTTGAACTTTGACCCATACTCACAATAATTGAATTGTTCTGGCCCATTTCGATGATGTGGCGATCAATGCGTACTGTGACAGCCCAGACCCGTGTCACTTCTTCACCGTCCCGACCTCTCTGTATTACTTCAACTTGGAACGCAGTACTTTTCCTCGGTCCACAGTTTTTCATTAATATATAGGAACAGTTTCCTTGGAAACTAAACTTCTTGCTATCGAACGTTCGGTAATGTGGATCCCCTCGCCCAGATCCATCTGTATGATACACAATTGAATAATTACAAATGCATTGGACGTATTAAGTCTTCATATTAAACAATTACCCTGAAGTGTGGGAAAATTTTAATTTTAGTAATGTTTTAGTGCTGAACATTTTGTTTTAAGATAAAAGCCTACTCATAATTTTTGACAGAATTGGTCATAAATCGCATGACAATGTTTATTAGTTCATTTTGTACAATCATGTGTGTTACAGTTAAGCTTTTTGAGAAACGTGTTCTAATATCATTTCTTGAAAATGTTTAGAACAATCGCATAGAACACAATGTTAAAGAAAAATTGCATTTGTTGACACTTATTAAAACCCAGATTTTTTAAATAATTCAGAACACCAAAATATACTCCTTCATTAATAATATGATTTTTTTCAACCTGTGTCACCAGGTTACATTTTGAGATGTTGCATAACATTTTTGCCATAGGAAAAAGCATTATAATAGTGCCAAAATGGCGACTTTCCACTAAAATACAACCATCAATTTCTTGAAAATAAGGCTGGTGACCCCAAACCTTTTTTACGTCAATTTCCTTATATTGCCTTGAAGTACAGTTTATTGCAAAATGAATAAATTCTGCGTATTTTAATTTATGCGTAGGCTTCTGCCTTTATAAAACATCGATAAATTATTATAGAATGATTCAAAACTGAAACGATACAGAAATTTAAACAAACGTTAATTTCTTTCCTATCACGTTATAACTATATAAATTGTACTCGGATTTTGTGTTTCCATGGTGAGACTCACACACGCCAAGCCTACACCGATGTATTTAATGCAATGTAGTCAGAATGCGTGAAAATAATCCCTCACCTTTAGTTGGTTCCGGAACTTCGAGAGCTTAAAAAAGAATACACGGGGTTAATTATTGTTGTACAGTCATATTGACGAGTAAAGCCATTTTGAAACTGTCACAGATTTCAAATAATTTGCCACAATTTCATGATATAAACTCAGAAATAAATAAACTTACATATGCAGCATTTTTTTCCATTACCACATTCACATGCAGCACCGCCCTCAACGTCATTTGGGCCACAAGCTCTTTTACATACGCCGCCACAGTCGGAACAGTCATCAATCTGGGGATCGGCTACGTTTAAATAGATAGACATGTGGTAAATGCTTTGAGTTTTTCACGTAATAGACAACACCATGACGATGACATCCTCGTGGCAAAACATGTGTACTCGTAATCATTAGCTACCTTTTTTTTTTAACTGGCTCACTTCTACCTAATGCAATGTCATGTTTGTTTGGCACGTTTGTTTGTGAGCAGGATTAACTAAGATGCGGATGATCTCTCTGATAATGGCAATAACGAAAGTGTGCGGTATAACATATGCAGGCAGAAGTAAACATGCGTTACCCGCCCTAAACAGGTACAATGATTATCTTACTTATACAGCATACTCCGCGATTGTTTTTACATGTGCATTCGGTTGAACCGACCAACTCGCCGATCGGGCACTCGCTTTTACAACTTCCGTCACAAACGTTAGTACACACGTCAGCCGCTGCAAAATAAAATTCCTATATGGAGTCACCGACGACAAGTATCGTCATACATAACATAATAAGAACCATTGGTTATGTTTTATTGTTTGTAATAACTTAATAAATATGCAATATATAGCTATCAGCTCGTAGGTAAAACAACAAATCATGTTTCAATTACACATTTTAATATCGATGTCATTTGACCAACACGTTTGGGACTATCTGTATTATATTTTACTCAAAAAAAATCGATCGTTCGCCCGTCCCGGATTATGCGTAGGCCAATCACGAAAGGGTAATTAAATACCTCGTTCAATACGGTTATATGTAAACATGGGCAAACTACCTAGAACTGTTTGCATGTTTGATTACATAGAGCAAGCTAAATATTCAGATTAAATATTCTATAATAAAGTTCACACTGTATAATGTACACACTAATATGAATAAATACCTCTAGGAAAAATCTCCGACAAGAAGCTATTGGACTGAGAAAAAAAAAATATTTAAACAATGTTATTTGAAAATGCAAAATCTGCCATACAATATTTCGTGTCTTACAAGGATCAAGTACAAGGGGGAAACTGTCATGGGGTCGCCAAAACTTTATTGGGTTGTTCGTGTTCAACGTAATGCAATTTGGTTTGACCTTAGATATCAATGGTCGCCAATATCTCGCCGAGAGCGATAGAGCTGCGAGACTTATGCCCCTCTCGGATCGCAATCCCGGGGGTCTATTGCAAAGCAACGTCCGAAATCAAATTTTTCTGAAGCTACATTCAGAGAAAACAACCAAAACACTCATAGTGTTATAATCCCACACTGGTCATATTGAAGCGGGAGGGTCGTCACCTGCGCACGCGCGGAAATTGAGTCAAGCGACAATAACAACACACCACGCTAAAAACGCAAAAGCTCATGGTTAGACGCTTGCTTGTAAACAATGACACGCTATGGCCATCTGACGCATGCACAAGTGACGACTACCCCGCTTTAATCAAATTTACGGTGAAATTCCAAGTATTAGCTACCGCTGCCGCGAGATAATATAGAGAAACCTACGGTCCACTTTAAAATGATGTACTGACCTTCGCATTGCCTAGTGGAGTTCCGACACACAGGTGGGAAAGTAGAAGACACACTAGTAACTGTAACGACTTCATCATTGTAATACTGTAGTAGAAAAGCATAGACGTTATATTCTAATTCAGAATATGTTACAGCAATTGTGACAACAACAAATGTCACTGCCCGTATTAAACAAAGAGCCATTCAAGATTTTGCACTTCACTTCAATATTGATATTACACTTCGCCTGGACAGCAAAGCGTGGGCCTTTAAAAATATTAAGTTGGTGATTGAGTGAATATCCATTTTTAGAGAAGGATAAATTTGAACTGTAATACTACATGGACTGAATGAATATACTGAATATTCTAACATTCAACGTTGTTATTAAGTTCGAATGCCTCAAAAGCTTGCATATTGTTGACCCGCATTACTACTACGTGTCAGGTGGAGATACAAAGGAACGTTAATATAGCGTTTAAATACTGATGTTTGTATAGCCTGACTGACATTCAACATAATCCACTCAGAAACTAGACTCTTAACAGTGGAAATCAACGCTATGATAGTTTGTGGTTGAACTCACACAAA